AAAAAAAAAAAAATGCCCAGGCAATAATATTCTGTAATTGCTGTGGAAAATGGGCTAAGATAGTGGTAATATTAGTTTAATTTGGTACTTTGTGGGAAATATTCTTAGGAAAGCTTTAAAAAAACATCTTGAGCCTATCACAGATGAACTTTTCAAATTGGTAAGATAAATTAGACTTTTCTGTAGCAGGTTCAAATATTGTGCTAAATATTTCTTGTTCATCTCTAAGTATTTTCTCAACTTTGATATCCATTAGCTTGGGAGAAGTTGCTATTAAATTTACCATCCTGTTCTTTTTTTTGCAGAACCAGGGATTGAACTCAGACCCTTGTGCTTGCCAGGGAAGTGCTTATTCCACTGAGCCATCTCCCCCGCCCCCTTTTTTTAAGTCACTGTTTCTTTTATTTTTCTTTTTTACCATCTGTCCTTGAAGCCTGATGAAGGTAGAGATGGGGTAAAGAATGTTCTTAAAGGTCTCCCTAGTTGCTTCCTTTCCTTATAACCACCGGTTTTCTTCAGTTTTCAGTACTTCCTGAAATTCTTTTTGCCTTTAATAAGTCTCCCAGGAATACCACTACCAATGAATGAGTCACGAGATGCCCATCCTAGCTAGGCTTCTCAGTGGTCTTAGATACAGAGTCTCTAGGCTTGGGCTCACAGGGGGAGACATATTAATACTCAGAGTCACAGCTCCTAAGCCTGGCTCCTCTGGTAACTAAGTGTGCTTAGGCCAGTCACCTGAGTTTTCTTGGGCAAAGCGCTTAATCTCATCTGTAAATTGATTTTATCTCCAGGGTCCTTCCCAACTGTGAACCTGAAATTCTCAAGGAGACATCACTAGTGAGGGATGCTATTGCTCTTTCACATTTAGTGTGAATTAATTGCAGATGCTTTCTTCTAAAGGCATTTATTTGTAAAAGCTATTCCAGTATAATAGGCTTGGGGAAGGACTCTTAAAATGGAATGTAAATATACTAGAATATAATCAAGAGGACAGGGATCTTTGTCTTGTATACTGGTGTTTCCCCAGTGCCTAGGATAGTAATTAGCCCATGATGTGCATTTAATATTTGCCACATGATTGAAGAAATAAGGATTGGGTTCTTTTTGTGTTAGGATAAGTTTGCTACAATAGTGCACAAATACTCCAAGTACCCTGAAAGAATTCAGAATATAAGCCTGAGTACAACTATGATATACAAATGCTATCTTGGGGCCAGAGCCTGCCTGGCAAGCATGAGGTCCTGAGTTTGATTCCTGGTACCTAAATAAATAAATGCTAACTTATAATGAAATATTCATTATTCACTTAGTTTTTTTTTTTTCAGAACTATTTAGCAATTTCTACCCTGTTTGCTTCTCCTAATCACAAAGTTTTGTCCATCACCAGATCTTAGTGCCTGCTTGACATTTCAGTGTACCCTTTACTCATATATACAAAGATCTGTGCCCTGCCTAGTCCTTATACTGCTTAATGTTGTCATCAACACTATACTTATTATTGTATTTGATTCTTTGTGGTTTTTTTGGTGGAACTGGGGATTGAACTCCGGCCCTTTCGCTTGCCAGGGAAGCGCTTATTCTACTGAGCCATCTCCCTGGCCCTTGTATTTGATTCTATTGATTTTAATTTGGCCTTTAATTCATGGGACAGTCGCTGAAAACTAGCACCCTTGGCCTTTTTGTTCCAGGGGTGACTTTTTTTTTTTTTTTTTTTTTTTTTTGCTTTTCTTTTTTTTTTTGGCGGAACTGGGACTTGAACTCAGGTCCTTGCGCTTGCCTACTGAGCACTTATTCTACTGAGCTATCTCCCCAGCCCAACCAGGGGTGACTTTTCACCGTATAATTCCTATACATAGTTTTTCAGAGTCTGTTTTGCCTACAGATAAAGTTCAGATTCCTGACCCAGAGTCAGAGACTTCCACATTTTAGCGTCTTTTTTGGTGTGTTTCCCCATAGGCTTATGCTAATAATTATTAGTTACTGGACAGTTGATATAGAAAATAAGGAAACAAAAGGTAGTGAGAGGGGCCCGTCCGCCCCACCCCCACCCGCGCTCCCTCCCTTTCTCCTTCCCTCCCCCTCCCTCCCCGGCCCAATCCGGCCCATCCCCCTCCCTGCTGGCTCCCTGAGGCCCTACCGGGTTGGGCTGCAGGAGGCCGGGAGGCCGGGACTGATGGGTGAACGCGAGGGTGGGTGGGCAGACGCACGGAGGATGGCAGGCACGCACGGCCTGGGCCAGCGCTGCGAGGCCCACCTGGGAGGGCCGGGGCTGTGCTCAGGTCCTGGGAGGAATGGAGAGGAGTCCTACTGATTATCTTTTCTGAGTGGTCAGAGAATTCTTAAACAGAATTTTGATTTGGCTGCTACCTTGAAATACAAGCCCTAAAAATGCCAGCTAGTTTGGACTTCGAAGATGACCTGAATAAATGACAAAAATTAAGCAAGATATTTCGGTTTTCTCATTGTCCACTTGGCATATGCTTCTGGAATAATATTCACCATGGTTTTGGATGACCTCCCAAACCTAGAGGACATCTATACTTCCTTGTGTTCATCAACAGTGGAAGACTCAGCGATGGATTTTGACTCTGGGCTAGAAGATGATGACACAAAAAATGATAGTGTTGTGGAGGATTCCACAATTTTTGTGGCCTTCAAAGGGAATATAGATGATAAAGACTTCAAATGGAAATTGGATACCATATTAAAGAATGTGCCCAGTTTATTACACATGGGTAATTTGCTTTATTTCAATCTTGTTACTCTTCTAAAGTATGTTCCCTTCCATGGTGATGTTGAATTTTACCAAGTTTGCTAAATGAGGTTGAAAGGTTAATTTGAAGTGCAAAATTGGCTTAATAGGATTTTTAAGGATAGAAATGCTTTTGTGTTTCTTTGTGTACATGGAGGAACTGAGCTAATAAAGTATTGCTTAACATAAAAAAAAGGTAGAGAGAATGGATTAAAAAAAAAGCTGTTTATACATGTACCTATTCCATAAGATGAATATAAACTTTATAAACTGCAATTCTGTAATAATGACATTAAAATAATAATGAGAACCTAGAAAGTATGTTTCTAGTCAAAGAGAGGTTGGTGGACTGTTTCTCAGGAAACATTTGTAGTGTGGCATTCATTATTTGAGTGAATTATCAGTTCACTAAAAAGTAGCATGAGGGATAAGAGCCCTTAAAACTTCATAAAGTTTTTTCTCTTATTGACAAACCTGCTTGGATGCTAATTAATAATCAGAAGGAAATTAAATATATGTATTCAGTGGTGTGAAATTTACATTGTAAAAAACCACCTAATGGTACTTACTGGCTAAATCATTTTGTGCCCATAACATTGCTTGAATGGTTTATTAGTCTGGATGATGGACCAAGTTATTTTGCAGTAACAACCCCCAAATCTCAGTGGTTTAAAATAATAAAGGTTTGTTTCTTCTCGGTTCTTGTTGCATGTGAGTTGTCTGGGGTTATGCTCTTTGTTGTCCTTGTACAGGAATGGAGCCTTAACCTTCTACTCTATTATCCCTGATAGATGTAAAATGATGAGAATTAAGCAAACAAACTGGCTATTAAAGGCCTTAGTCTGTAGTTCATTGGCCAGATCAAGTCAAATGACCATACCTACCCTCAAGACGATCTGTAAATATAAGCCTATCATGTATCTGAAAGGACAACAGAAATATGGTACAGTTTTAATGTTCTACGACAGTTGAGCCACCCTTACATTGACATTTTTAAATAGTTTTTTCTCTTACTAGTCTTTCCTAGCTGACCATTATCTTTTAGGATTGAAAGTACTTAATACATTTTGAGTATCTGAGTTAGTTGCCCTTTTTAGCAACCACTCCTGCAGCCACACTCCCACCAACTTTTGACCAAATGTTCCTGAGTGTATTAGTTACTCTTCTGTCATTGCTGGGACAAATACCCAACACTCAAAATGAGGGAATGAAAGGTTTATTTAGCTCACAGTTACTGGAAGTTTCAAGACACTGGAGGAGAGGCTGGGGCGCTGTGGTGTCCAGGATGACCCTCTCCACATCCCTCAGAAAGCACAGGCCAGCCAGTTTAACAGTTCGCACCTCTCAGGCCCCACCCCTTGAGCCACACACCCTGCTCCTCAAGCAGTGACTGCCCCATGATTTATATGAGGCTTTTAGGGGGACAATAAACCATAGCACTAAGAAAGAAATGTCATATTTAGGGAATCATTCCCTTTTTTAGAATCTGCTTGCTAGTAAACAGGGTGTCACTACAGCTGCAACTCTTAGTGATCCTCCTGTTTTCAGCCTCCCAGCGCTGGTTGGGATTACACCACACCCAGGCTTGGTCCCTGGCTCAGTGGAATTGGAGCCTGGTCCCTGTGCTTGCCAAGCAGGCACTTAGTCTGCTGAGCTATCTTGCCAGCCCTTATAAGCTATATTTTTTTTTTTTTGGAAACAATTTTTATTTAGGATAAATTCTACCTCCTCTGCATTGAGTCACTTCATCTGGTCAGCCCAACATATATTTTGAATATTCTTTCATTATAAAAATAAATTTTACACATTGATATTTAGTGAACTGAGTCACTGGGCTAATCTTATTAGAATTAAAGATATTCTTAGTGGATTAGAAGCTGTTGCCTTCTCTAAGATGACTCTAAATAACTGCTTTAAACCTCGGTTTTCTGTTTGAAGGTTTACCTAAACAGTCTCCCTCCCCCAAACTTCTGGATAAATTCTCAAGGATATTGCTATGTTTAACGTTGTATTATTACCACTTATTTGTTTCTTCCTGCTGTAAATCTTGATATGATACTAGAGAATTTCACAACAAGAAAGGTTAGGAAATTTAAAGTACGAGCAGGAATATGTAGGAAACTACTAGTTGGTGTGACAGCTATATGTGTGAAAACCTATATAACAAGGTTTTCTTTTGCTTTAGAGCGGTCCTTTTATTGAATTTTACAGTTTTCTGATTATTTCGTATTCCTTTATATACTTTTAGAATTTATTTACTATAACGGAATCATACAACAAATCTGATTTTATTAATGATCCTTGTGTACTGCTGAATATTAGCTAACATTTACAGGATATTAAACCACATTCCTCCCAAGTGCTGCAATTACAGATGTGTACCACCATACCTGGATTTTTTTTTTTTTTAATGTATTTGGTACAGGCTCACTATGCAGTTTGGACTCGTATTGATCCTCCTTTTTCAGACTCCCCAGTGCTGGAATTACAGGAGTGAGTCACCACACTCGGTCTTGGTGGCCAGCTTGGTGTGCCCGGGGTTCCAGGGCCTGGCCTGCACAGCATGTGGTATCAGGGTTCAAACCTGGGTCCTTGCACTTGCCAGAAAGGCCCTTAGACTGCTGAGCTATCTCTGCGCCTCCCCCCCACCCCACCTGCTTTTCTTTTTTTGTGGGCGGGGGAAGGGTCTACAGGGTGTTCAGGCTTTCGCTACTAGATCGAACTAGTCATCCACCTGTTTACAGCCTCCCAAGAGCTGGGATTATAGGCGCGCGCCACCATGCCCAGTCTCAATTGCTGTGTCAGTGCACCCCAGGGGTGGGGCCAGCAGGGCAGGCCCTGGGATTGAGTCCCTGGCCCCTGTACCTGCTTGCAGGCACTTTAATCTGCTGAGCTATTTGGTCGGCCCTTAAGAAAATCTATTCTTTTTTTAAACTTTTTTTTTGGTTTGTTTGTTTTACAGTACTGGGGATTGAACTCAGGACCCTGCTCTTGCCAGGCAAGCGCTTATTCTACTGAGCTATCTATCTTCCCCAGCCCACCCTGGCTTATTTTTAAAGTAGGCAATACTTGTATGTAAGGCCAAATGCTTTTTTTTTTTTTTTTTTTTTTTTACTGGGAGTCAAACTCAGGACCTTGGTCTTGCCAGGCAGGCACTGTGCTGCTGCTGACTGTATCCCTGGCTATATTTTTGTTTTGAGATAGGGCCTGTACTGGGAGTCAAACTCAGACCATTGTACAAGCCAGGCAGTTGCTGTGGTGCTGAGCTATGTCCTTGACCATTTTTGTGTTTTTGAGACTCCCTATGTTGTCCAGGCCAACCTTAGGCTAGCTGTATAGCATAGCCTGGCTTCTAACTAGTGATTCTCCAGCCTTAGACTCCCCAAAGCTAGAATAATAGGTATGTATTGGCATGCTCAGCTTGAGATGCAATAGGTGATGTAAGGAAAAACATGAAGTAAAACTATACTATCGTTCCTCAGCTTCACAGTTCATCTCTGTGAAAATGTCAGTAATTATTAAGGATTTTTTTTTGGTACTGGGAATTGAACTTGAGACCTTTTGCTTGCCAGGCAGCAGCTTATGCTGCTCAGCTATATCCCCGGCCCTAGGGATATTTTAAATGAAAGTGAATAAGGGCCAGGGAGATAGCTTAGCAGACCGGCAAGCTACGGACCACACCCCGTGCTGCACCAGCTGACCCCAGGCGTGCTAAGCTGCCATGAAGACCAGACATGGAGGTGCATGCCTTATTCCCAGCACAGGGGAGGCTGAAACAGGAAGATCACTATGAGTTCAGGCTGCGCAGTGAGACCCTGTACCATATCCTTTATGTGGTATTTAATTGATAATTTCTTAAGTGTCTTTATAGGTTCTTACTCTTCTTTTTTCTTTACAAGTATCTGTTGAGGAAACTGAGTCCCCACAACTGCCATTTTTCAGATTTTTGTAATTGCATCCTCCCCTTCTATATTCCCTCAAAGTGATCACTGCTAACGTGAATGTTAATAATATTAGTAGTATAGCATTTCCTATGTGTGTCAGGAGCCATCTATCAGGGGGCAAGTAATGTCTGGTTGTCTCTTTTGTGATAGTAAGGATAACTTTGATGTTGTTAACCTGATCCATCTTTTATAAAATTCCCTGTCAACCTCTCTGATTCTGCTTTCTTGTCCAAATTGAACAAGTATTCCTGGTGAAGAGCTAAAGATAGGGAAATGTGGGAAGCTGTAGATGATTTCAGAGTACACAAGAGTTGCATAACTAGAGAGCTTTCATTCGTTTCATTTTTATAATATCTTGTTTGTCATCAGGACTCCAGTCTGGTAGACCTGAGGTGTATTCTGGATGCTTCCCCACCCCTCAGGTTAGATGTGCTACTGCTTTTTCTAGTAACCTGTACTACCTGTTCCCCTGTATTGCAGTGATTATTTTATGTCCTGAGATTCTTGCTTTATAAGCCATGAATTTCTTAAGGAATAGGTTATGAATAGCTTGTTCTTCTCTCGATGCATTGTAAATGCTGAATTAATACACATTGAATATGTACATATTCTTTCTCTTTTCCTTCTCTTTTAGGGGGAGGGCACAGTGTTGGAGATTGAACGCAGGGCCTCAGACAGGCTAGGCAGACACTCTGCCCCTGAGCTACACCCCAACCCTACATACTTTTTCTTTTAATAGTTTAAAACATTCCTTAAAATGCTAGTACTTTGTGATAGTACTCATTTGTTTACTGAAAGGTATGTGTGGATTTTTACATTAGCTAATACAGTAGTTTGTCTTTCAGGTTGTAGGTTAAGGGTGAAACACAGTCCTTAGCCATGGGAAGTTCTGTGGTCTAGTTGGCAGGAGAGGACATACATGGATCAGTTAGTGCCCATTTGTGCCTTATATTTAATCCTGAATTATTTAAGATCTAAACTATTTAATATTAGGTTAGTACAAAAGGATGTGGTAATGGGGAGATCACTGAAGTCAAGAATCAAAACAACTTCAGAGCAGATTTAATCATTATGGTAAGAAAGGCTGTGGCGAATTGGAGGAGGTAAAGAAATATTTCAGGCAGGCGCTTATTCTACTGAGCTATCTCCCCAGCCACGAAGTAATATTTCAGAGAGAAGAAACCTAGTAAACCAAACCTAATATTATGAAGTTAATATTTTCCATATTCAGAGATGCTTTGAACAGTGTGGAAGTCCCTACCTCTCCCCTCCATGTCATTTTATAAAAGCTTAGGTTTTTTGGCATATTCTCATAAACTAGATCCCTTGGTCTCTATGTGATGTTCCACTATTAATGCTCTTACCAGACTTTGCCTACTACTTCTTGAACTCATTTTGACAGTGAGAATATTCTCTCCCAAAGTTGCAAATTAGAGCTGGGTGTAATGGTTCATGCCGCTAATCCCAACACTCCGGGATTAAAATTTTAGCTGAGTATGAGTAATGTACACCTTTAATCCTGGCACTCTGAGAGGTGGAGGCAGGAGTGTGTGTTTGAGGCCACTTTGGACTGCAGAGATCTTGTCTAAAAATGTAAAAATAAATTCTCTCAACAGCTTGGCAATTAACTTATTCCTAGTTCTTTCTTCTATTAAAAAGTACAATTTTATTGCCTACAGGTTTTCTCATTCTTTTGGAGCAAGGCAGAGTAAATATGTAAACATCTTTCTGGGCTGGTGTTTTTGGTTTTGGTTTTCTGTATTAGTGAGGATTGGACTTGGGACTTTGCACAGAACTACATTCCCAGCCCTATTTTCATTTTTTATTTTGATACAGTCTCACCAGGTAGTTCAGTTACCCAGGCTGGGGTTCAACTTGCAGTCCTCTTGCCTTATCCTCTTATTAGAGTGGTAGGATTACAGGTGTACAGTACTCATGCTTAGCTAACATCTTTGTTTTTTTATTTAAAAATGAGATTTGTTTGGATGTGGGAATAATTAGGACATGAGAAAATTGAGAATTTGAACCTGGGTCTGTTGGCCCTGACCTTTAAGCTACACCAGCCTTTGGGGTGATGTTTTGGAAGGCAAATTGGAGAACACTGGGTTAAACCTAATTTTTTAGCTGGGTATGATAGCACACACCTCTAATCCCAGCACTTGGGGGGCCGAATCAGGAGGATCATAGGGAGTTGAGGGCAGCCTGGGCTACATAGTGAGTTTAAGGTCAACCTGAACTACAAAGTGAGACTGACCCAAAAAAGCCCCCTACACACACCTGTTTTCAACCTACTTTGTGTCAGTATACATGTGGTTATGAGTGTTAAGCTTTCTGGAGGACTAAGAGAGCGCAGGAAGAGCCTGACAGTAGGTGCAGATTAAGCTTTGCCTCCCAGTGAGAACATTGACTCTTTACACATTACTCATTGCACATTAAGGACACTAGACACCATCGTCCTGGTCTGTGTAGCCCCCCAGCCCACACAGCTGAGTGAAGCATACAAAACCTGTGGGTCAGGCCTTGGTAGTTACAAGTTGAAACTAATACATATTCCAGAAGTTTTGAGAAATGTTTCTGGAACCTCCAGGGCTGAAGAGTGAGCCGGTCTCCCGGGAGGAAAAGAGTAGAGCCTGGTACGGTGCCTGCCTGTAATCCCAGCATTCTGGGAGCCTGAAGCAGGAGGCACACAAGTTAGAATCCCTACTAGAGCTATTTAGTGGTTTGAGAAGGCATTATCTCAATTTAAAAAAAAAAAATTGTAAAAGGCTGAAGATGTAGTTCAGTGCTAAGATCCTGTGCTCAAATTCCAGTATTAAAAAAAAAAAAAAAGGAATGTGGGCCTGGGGCGACATAATTTCCTGGTTCTGTCAGGCACATACTTAGTGCTCATGGATCTTTGTGTAAAGCCAAGGATAACATTGGCCTGTACCCCCCAGGTGTCTCTGTGTGTGTGTGTTTGGTTTTAGTGGTACCAGGGATCAAATTCAGGACCTTGCACTTGTCAGGCAGGCATCTGTTCCCCTGAGCTATCTCCCCAGCCCTCTCATTTTTTGAGGTATATTGGGGAATGAATCCAGAGCCTTTATATTGAGCTACATGCCCAGCCCTTATTTTTTTATTTTGAGATAAGGGTCTTGCTAAGTTGCTCAGGTTAAGCTCAATTTTTCAGTTCTCCTGCCTCACCTTTATCCGTGTATGAAAGTATGTATCACTGTGCCTGCTGCCAAATTTATTTTAATCAGATTATTGAGGTATCATTTCTGTGAGTTTTGACATGCACACAGTTGTGTAATCACCACCACCTTCAAGATACAGAGCATGTCCATCTATCCAAGGAGTTTCCTCTTGTCTCTTTGTAATCAACTTTTCCTTGCCTCCAGGCCCTGACAACCATTGCCATTTTTCTTACCTACATTTTTTTTTTTAAACATTCATTTATTTAGTGTGTGTGTGTGTGTGTGTGTGTGTGGCCAGCTCAGCCCACCAGGGGGCGGGGCTGGCTGGCATGTGGTGCCGGGGGATTGAACCATGGTCCCTGTGCTTTCCCAAGCTCGTTCCAAGTAGGTACTTTAGACCACTGAGCCATCTCACCAGCCCTTACCTACATTTTTGATGTTTTAGAATAATACAAAAGTAAAGTTAAACAACAAATTAAACAATTTGAAGTCTTTCGAGTCTGGTGTCTTTCATTTAGCATAATGTATATGAGATTTGTTCATGTTGTTATATCTGTAGTTTGCTTCTTTTATTGCTGATAACTTTCAGAGAAAAACAGAAAAATTGATCTAGGAAAGCAGACATTTTAACTGAGGTGGGTGAC